ATATATTAGATATTTGTTTTCGATATTTTATTAAGCAGCATTAAATTTTAATCCGTTCAACACAACCAAAGAATTTTAATAGTCGTCGTAAAATATAATCAAGGAAATGCGCGTATGATATTTAACGCGACTCATTGACTTTACTTTTGATATTAGCAAATTCCAGTTTTATCAACTGTTTGATAAAATTCATCTCGAAATATCTTCTGCTGATCTTTCGTTTGAAATACGTAAAGAAAGAATAGAAAACTAAGGAACTAAAGTTATCGTTATATAAATAGAAAGAGAGAGAGAGAGAGAAATTACGAGCATTAGTAATAACGATACTTTCTTATATAAATATTTGTGTGAGAGAAAGACTTGTGTTCAATATTTAATTTAATTTAATTTTAATTTCTTTTAATTTTTTCTCTATATAACATACTCGAAAAAGCTTTAAATTGGCAGCCTTTTAAATCACGGCTCGAGCTGTCACTTTGTGGATAGCGCCGGACACACCATAGTTTATATCCTCGCATCGCTCTCGCGCAACCGTAACGGATAACAAATAATCTGCAAACACGCTAAAGCGATCGCGTAACGGCCGCGCGAGTCTGCAAAATAGAAAGAGTTAATTGCGGGGCTTTAATGCGTTTAACCGTGCATTATTAATCACGACGGTCGGTCGTAATTATTGCCGGCTATTATTAGACACTCGCTCGCTCTCTCTCTCTCTCTCTCTCGCGCGCGCGCGCGCGCGCGTATACGTTAGCGCGGACATTATGCTCGTTCGTTCCATCCCGTACGTAGATATATTTATCCGCCGGAAAAATGAATATCACACGCCCACATTTCGCGCGAGACCCACCCATGGCCGCGAGGACGGACGTGCGGGTCAACGATTCGGATCTCACACCTTTGTACGAGTATACGTTAACATCACGTTTACGGCCACTTCCTTAAATCAAATGCCGACGTCCTCGTTCGAGCTTGGCAAGAGTGTAGTGGCTTTATGTACCCGCCTAATTGTAATTCTGAGGGAAATGTAGCTACAATGTATCTCAATGGATTTATTTTGAAGTGATGTGAAAATTTTATAAAATTGCCTTCTTTTTATGTTTATTGTTATTACAAGTTTTTCTCGCTACAGATTTTTTTAGCTGAATTTAGATCGATTTTTCTCCTGCATAAATGTCAATGTTATATAATTAAGTGTCAAATAATTGAAGATGAAGGACTTACTAGCTATAAACTAAGCTTCAGAATAAAAATGCATTTTGTAATAACCCAAGATTATTTCGTATTATTTCTTTTAATAGAATTTTAATATTTAAAGTTTTAAAAGAAAACAAAATTAAATAAAACGCTATGCAAAGCTTCGTTTAAATGAAAATTAAATTGACCGAAATAACTGCGATTAGAAACACATCCAATAAAATTCTGGAACACGGTCTGTACATATAATGGATCTTGAAGTTGAATATTCAGCGTGAACAGAAAATTATTGCGTTCCGGAGGAGTCGAAGGCACGGACACACGTGCGTTGAAGTCATCGGCGCGGCGGCATCGCGAGATATATACCTACTTCGCCATACGTCTGCATCCCGACGCGAACCCCATTGCGCGATAATTGAAGTTACGCTTCGTGGGAAGCACGGCCTTCGCAGAGCAGAAGTGCCGTCTGGTACAAAGAGCTTAGACAAAGGGCGTGCTTCGAGGGTTTCGACTCTATATATGACTTCGTATGAGAAAAAGGCCGCCTTCACAACCCCGTCGTGATCCCCGAGACAAAAAGCCGTCGACGTAGACGAAGCCATGGATAATGCCATCCGCGCGACGAAAAACAGCACAGCTTTAGCCCGTAAGAGAGAGAGAGAGAGAGAGAGAGAGAGAGAGAAAGCGGGGGAGAAGCAGCCCGGACCCGGGCCGAACGGTCCCGAGAAGACCTCGAGAAAACGGGGAGCGCGGGACCAGAAGAGCAGGTCCCGAAAGCGTAGCAAAAACGTCCGAACTGCAGAGTCGGCGATTCCTGAAGAATCGGGGATCCCACAGCGAGTGATGATCGTAAGAGAAGAGGAAGATGCGACGAAAGGAAGAGAAATAGAGACAAAGAAAAAGAGTGGCAAGCGGTGCTATTTATCAAGAGACACGGTAGAGTCTCGCGCAAAGTCACGCAAGAAACACAGCGAAATGGACCGTGTATCTATACACGAGTCGTCCACCATTCTCTAATTGCGAGTATATATATTAATTAAACCACAATTAAAATGTGGAGTTGTCGATCAACAGTCAATTATAGTCTCAATAGAAAACCGATAGAAAAATCGATGTTAGCCCAATTTTTGCACCCTTAAATATCTGTCACTGCTATGTGGAATAATTTTCACGTATTTTAATTTTTTAATGCGCAATAGTTAGAGATACATATTAATAATAATTTATTATTATTCAAAATATTATTATTTGTTCCCACAACAGCGCCAAGTTTCTTTGTATTGATAAATTTTATTACTTTTAATTACTTTAACTGTGTAGCATTTTTATTGATACATATTATAAGAAAAAAAAAGGTGAACGTGTAATCGCGAAGACGAAGATGCACAATGAGAAGCTAAGGAGATGACAGTAGACAGTAGAAAGAAGAATGGAAAAGGAAATCGAGGAAAAGGATCTTTAGAATTAAATAAAGCAGCAAGTGGCACACACCGAGGATACAGATAGGACCGACCGCGCGTCTCTCGGAAGTTTTGAGATCCCGATGCGAGCGCGGTGGTATAAGGGCTGCGCCTGCTCATCCAAGATCAAGTTTTTCTCGAGTCCTCCGAGAACCTCCGGGAGAGCGAGAAGAAAGAGCATTGGGGCCCGAACCCGAATCCGAGTTGATTTCGTGGCACGCGGTTCATCTTGTCGTTTATTCTCTCCGACTCTCTCCGCTACAGTCGCCTCCTCTTCCTCATCTTTCACCATCTCACCGACCTCATCTACACTTCAATTCCGCGGCAGGACTGGACCGCGATGGCGTATCGGTACCGATGAAACCCCCAATTTTTTAAACAATTTTGTGCAAGACATATATAAAATAAAATAGCGATGTATTCGACTACCCTTGTATCGACTTAACCCTTGGATCGCGCGGTTTTCTAACAAATATTTGCAAACAACAAAAAAATAATTTTTTAAAGTTAAATCACACGAGCACTGTCGAAAGATAGCCATAAGAATTTTCTACAAATTAAAAGAGAAGGAAAATTAAAGGTCGCGACTATAATTCAAATGACATTTCTATCCGAAAGATAAAATCGCGAATTGCAGGACATCCTGTATTAGAGTAGAATAAAAGCGCAAATTAATTAGGATAGCTTTGTTCTAATAAAACGAGGCGAAATGGCGGCGACGGTGGCAGCACAGCGCGATACTTTCGTATAAATTTGAAACGCGCCCTGTAATTTGAGAAAACGTCCCTGATCCTAAACCCTATTTATGCAGCACTGAACCGGCTGTAAAACGTTCGTATTCACGATCTCCCTCCTTCTCATCCTTCTCCACATCCTCCTCTTTCTCCCTACTTCATGAAAGAAGCTCGTCCTTCTCCTCGCGCACGTGTGTTGTCCTTCCATCTATCGCTTCTCTCGAGAATATCTCTCTCTCTCTCCCTCCCCCCTTTTTCACTCTTTTTTCCTCCTCTCTTTTTCTCTCTCTCTCTTTCACGAATGTGTTAGGCTCATCTTGCGAATAAAGAAAGATGTATATATTACACACATAATACAATACGCTACGGTGGTTGAAAACCGACGTCAAAAGAGATGCTATTTTGTAGGATGCTTATTATTTAATATAATATCAAATTAATAATTATTTAAAAATCAAAATGGTCTTGTATCTTGATTGATAATTTTAAATTTAGGGCCAACGCTGTTGCCAGGGAAACAAGAACGACTCTGACACATTTCTTATTATGTCTCGTAATATCGAACTAAAACTTTTATAAGGTTCTTTAGACGTATTACTAATGAAACGACGTTTCATTATGCATGCGTAATATACTAGAGGAATTCAAATCAGAATACTGTTCATTATTAGTCAATCAATATTTAATACAAGATTATCCAACGCAAAATTAATAAAATAATTCTTTTATGACTTCTTGCTTATTTCTCTTTTCTTCGACACGTTAACAAATATGCGTATTGTAAACACATTAGTTGCTGTATACATATAGCGAAAGGGGGACAATTTTAATAAAATATTTCTGGAACCAAACCAATCCAAGAATTTCTTTATCATTTTATTCTCCGACAAATAATTATCGAGATATCACGAATTAAAGATCGAAGATTTTTAATCATTATGACATCGTTACGAGTATCGTCACTATTAAAAGGATTATTTAGTCTTAGAGAGAAAGAAATATCTTACACAAATTGTTACAAACGAGTATTGTTTTTTAATGTATATTTTATTGATTAAATTTGCTTTTTCTGCATATTAATAGTTAATTAAAAATAAAATTTTTCTTATGTTATTAATTATATAGTAAAAGCAAATTAAAACAATAAAAAATATAAATTAAAGCAACACTTCTTTGTGCAACAATTTTTTCGGCAATTAATATAACATTTCTATTTTGAGTATGTTCATTCAGTCAGTATACTCAACGTTTTAATAACTTTAATTATTCATCTAGCTATAGGAATAAATCTATAGAAATTATCCACTAACAATAAATAAAAAATCTGTCAATCATTCTTTGGAGTCCATCATATATATCTCGTATCATATGATTTTTAGCAATTAAAATATCCCTGCTGAATCTTGCGCCGTCGATGACAATCCGGACTCGTTCGCTCGTTCCGCGAGAAGGGGTCTTATCCGGCAATCGAGAAATTACATTATGGGACGAGGGAGGAGAGGAGAAAGACTGGCAGACCGACAAAAAGCACCGACTATCTTTCAGGAGCCGACGAAGGAAGCATCATTAATATCACCGAGACGATCAATCAAAAAACCAAACGTAAACTCACTTTGGTGGACGTCGTACTGGGCCTGGTGCCGCCTATGCCGATGGCGTACAGTTCAACCTCATACCACTGGACGCCGGTTTCGCGATCGAGCTTGGCCGCGGTGGATAGCACGCCGGTCTTCGTGTCGATGTCGAAGAGCCGATCGACCTGGAGCCCGTCGTCGGGCCCGCCGCCGGCGGTCACGTTCGTCACGTAATACTCGAGCTCGATGTTCGAGCGTCGGTTGCGCGCGCTCACACGCAGAATGCTGGTACCGACCGGTTCGTTCTCATAAACGCTGCCCTCGATCTGACCCCGGTGTTCCCAGATCGGCTGATCATCGCCGTCCTCGCCTGGCACGATCAAGGTCACGTAAGTCTCCGACGAACGACGTTCCGTCTGGACCGCTTCGTCCGTCGCTCGGACACCGACCTGATATTTAAATATCCGTTCGAAGAGACCGCTCCTCTTCGAGAATGATCGCGGAAATCTCATGGTGAGCTGTCCGGTGCTACGGTGAATACGAAACATATCCAAATAGTTGACGTTCGAACGGAGCAATTCGTACGTCACCAGGCCGTTCGTGCTGGAGTCGAGATCGCGGGCGACCAGCTGCGTGACCACGATTTCCTTGATCGATGACTGATAATGGTTGAGATTGCCAGTGCGCAGCGGCGGTAACACTACTGCAGACATACTGACGAATAACGGCGCGTTGTCGTTGACGTCTTCGACGATCACAATTACTAGCTTCTCTGCGGACAAGCGCGCGCTTGATGGCTGCGCTCGATCGGTCGCGACTACTACGAGTTTGAAGGTGTCTACTTCCTCACGATCAATCGGCAGCAATGTATGAATTACGCCACTCGACAGATTGATACCGAAACGCCGCACTTGGTCCTCCGGATCTTGGTTGAGAATCGAGTAACTGACCATGCCGTTGTCGCCCGAATCCGGATCCTCGGCGGTGATGGTGACGATCGGCGTTCGCACGGGAATACCTTCGCGTATCTGACGCACTATTGCCGTATTCGGAAATACCGGTGGATTGTCGTTGGTATCGATCACCTCGACAATCAGACTGGTAATCGAGCTAAGCCTTGGGTGACCACCGTCGCCACAGGTGACGTTCAGTGTGTAACGTTCCAGCTCCTCATAATCCAGCGATTTTCGTAAATACAGGATACCAGTCAGTGGATCGATATAGAAGGTATCCCTTCTGTTACCGGCCGATATGGCGAATGTCAGCTCGCTGTTGGGTCCGAGATCGTTGTCAGTGGCCTTGAACCGCAACAATTCGGTATTGATCGGCGTGGTCTCCAGCACGGAAATACGGGATTTATTGTCGATAAAACGCGGCACATTGTCGTTTTCGTCGAGTACTTCGATGTAGACAGTTGCGCTGGATGACAAACGCGTCTCGAGACCGGCGTCGTGCGCCACAACAGTCAATACATAGGTGTCGGACGTCTCGCGATCGAGTTCTTTCACCAGCGAAATCTGTCCTGTGGCTTCGTCAATTATGAAATGACCGTGCTGATTGCCGTCCTCCAATGAATAAAACACGTCACCGTTCAAACCCTCGTCGGCATCGGTTGTATATACTCTCAACAGCTGCGTGCCGATCACGGCGCCTTCGCTCATTTGTACTCGATAAGGCAAACGCTGGAATTGTGGCACATTGTCGTTTACATCGGTGATATGGATGGTGACCTTAACGCGATCACGAAGGTGATTGACACCATTATCGGTGACAGTGGCCTCTAAGGTGACATAGCTGCCGCCGGTGTTGGTCACCAGGAGTTCGCGATCGAATACGCGCAGCGATTTAACGAAACCGTTCCTCGGATCGACCACAAAGTCTTGCTGGCTAGCCGGCAACGAGAATATTAGATCGGCATTACGACCGACATCACGATCGGTGGCCAACAGCTTACCGACGAAGGTGTCGGGCGGCTCGTTCTCACGTAGATGGAAGCTAAAACTGCTGTTGGTGAACTCGGGCGCATTATCGTTCTCGTCGATCACGTGCACCACTACCGGAACAACGGAACTTCGCGAAGGACTGCCTTGATCAGACGCAGTGACCTCGAGTGCGTAATAGTCTCGTTCCTCGCGATCCAGCGCGTTCTTCACATAGAGCTGACCGTCCGGAAAAATGCCAAAACGACCCTCGACGTTACCGTCAGTCACACTGTATAATATCCTACCGTTGACGCCGAGGTCCGCATCGTGAGCTATCAACGAGAAAAAACGCTTGTTGACCGGCGTGGACTCCGGCAGCGAGATCTCGTAGCTGGTCAACCGAAAGACTGGCGTATGATCGTTAACGTCTTCAATCGTCACTTTGATCTGATGCTGAGCGGATAGCGATGATTCACCTGAATCAGTCGCCGTCACTTCTAGATAGAGGATCGTACCAGGTGTTGCTTGGATTGGTTTGTTTAAATAGATGATGCCCGAATTTTCGGCGATCCTGAATTGCTCGCCTGGATTGTGCGTAAGCGAATAGACGATTCTGGCATTGGCGCCGACGTCACGATCTCTGGCACGGGCTAAACATATTTCCTGTCCCACTGCCGCATTTTCTCGCAGAAAAATTTCATCGCCTCGCTCGCCCCTGGGAAACCTGGGAGGATTGTCGTTAACATCCTGTACGGTGATGTTAACGGTCGTTTGACCATACGCGAGATCGGCGCGCGCTGACAGTTGCAAACTGTAATAAGCCACTCGCTCGCGATCTAGACAACCGGTAGTACTGATAACGCCGGTACTTTTGTCAATTCTAAAATTGCTTTTAGAATCGCCGAAAACAATGGCATAGCTTACCTTGCCGGTATTACTATATTGCGTGACTTGTACCGAACCAACCTCTCGACTGAATCCGGATATGGAGTCGCAATCGCCATGATTCTCGGTTACGCGGAATTCATAGCCGTTGTAAGTTTCAAACTCGAGGTGTTCTAGATCCTCCTCGCGAATTATTTCCACTATCGCATTTCTAGCTGCCAACCGGTCGCCGGTATCCTTGGCCGAGATGGTTAGCTCGTAGAGAGTTTTGTGCGCGGCTCGTAAAGAGCCCTGAAGAGCAATCTCGCCGGTTCTCTCATCCACTATGAAGAGACCTTCACCGCCAGATTCCAGGATGTATTTTACTTGAGCGTTTTCCCGGGCATCGGCATCAGTCGCCGTCACTTTACCTATTGTCGTGCCTGCTGGAGCATCTTCAGAGATAGGCATTAGATATTTCCAAGGATAGAAGACCGGCGAGTTATCGTTAACGTCTTCCAACGTTAGAACCACAGTGGCGGTTGAGGATTGCACTGGCGTACCCTGATCTTTCGCTATGACCAGAATTCTGTACTCTGCTACTGTTTCCCGATCTAAGACAATCTTGGTCGTCAACTGACCGGTCAGAGCATCCAGCGCGAAAGTCTTGGGATAATCGCGTGAGACACAGGAATGAAAGCTATACGCAACACTACCGTTGGTTCCTTGATCGTTGTCGACGGCTGTCAGGGTAGCTACTAAACTGTTGGGCGGCGTGTTCTCTGATAACGTGATTTCGACGACGTTTTCGGAAAAGCGTGGCGCTTCATCATTCTCATCAAGAATTGTCACCTTGAGATGTGTGGACGCGTACTTGGTGTTTGGACCGCCGTCCCACGCCGACACGTGTAACTCGATGCTACCTTGAACTTCACGGTCCAAAGTGGCAACGGTGGTGACTAGGCCGGTATCGCCATCGATAGCAAACCAGCCCTGCTCGTTGCCCGAACCGAATTCGTAATAAATCCGCGCATTTAATCCAGAATCCGCGTCCGTGGCCGAAATGCTGGCGACAAAACTACCAATCGGTGCGAGTTCCGATAGCACTGCTGAATATTCACTCTGTTGAAATACCGGCTCGTGATCGTTGACGTCGTTCACATGAATCACGAGATAGGACGTGGCCGATCTGGGCGGAATGCCCTTGTCGGTGGCGACCACCGTGAGATTATACTTGGGTATCTCCTCACGGTCCAACCGGCCATTGACCCGCACGATATCGACAGTTTGCGTGTTCTCTAGCCGAAAATGGCTTAACTCGTTACCGGCGCGTATCTCTATGCTGGTCTCGCCATTCAAGCCCTCATCGTCGTCGAGTACTGTTACCGCAGCGACAATCTGGTCCTTGGCAGCGTTTTCGTCGACGGTAGCAAAAGTCGCGGTCGGTGGAAAGTAGGTAAATTTGATTACAGGATCATGATCATTCGCGTCCAACAGATTCACCGTTACGTAGGTACGACCGTCCTGCCTAGGTGAACCATGATCGCGAGCGAAGACCGTAATAACGCAGCTTTTGGGGCAACCGCCAGCAGGACGTGCTATCGTGCAGCCTTGTTGAGGACACCTCAACTGCTCGGCCGTCGTGATCGTACCTACCTCCGGATCGATTGTGAACTTGCGCTCGTTGTCCGGTAGATAATACGTCAATTTCGAATTGTCCTCCGAATCCTTGTCAGTAGCATGTACCGTCAGGACTTTCGTGCCGATTGGAGCGCTCTCATTTAACGCTACCACATAATCGCTTTGTTGAAACACGGGCGAATTGTCATTCACATCTAACACCGTCACGTTTACCAACAAATAACCTAAACGTGGAGGTCGGCCGCGATCGCGCACACAAATATTGAGCGAATAAAACTCTACCTGCTCGCGATCTAACTTGCCTGTAGTCTCGAGGTGTAAATATGATGTCTCACCGATAGGATTGCCCGTAACTTCCAAACGAAATTTGCCGTCCGTATTGCCATCCACAATAAAATAGTCATCTAGCACACCGTTCTCCGGCGTGTCCCGGTCTGTCGCGGCGTCCAGCAACAGCTTGGTACCGGTTACGGCCGATTCTGAGAAGCTTACCGCGATGCTGGGCTCCGGAAATTCTGGATTGTTGTCGTTAATGTCAAGCACCAAGATTCGCACTTCGATTGGATAAGTTGGTTGACTCGATAATATGACAAAATCAAACCGATCGCTGCTCAGAGCTTCGCGATCGAGGACCTTGGCTGTTCTTATCTGGCCTGTTTCCGGATCAAGCACAAATTCTTGAGGCGGCTCATTGAACCTATAGGTAAAATCAGGCTTGACCGGTATCGTGCCGACCAAAGTACCTTTGGGCTCGCCTTCCCTGACCTCAAGCTGCACCCGCGTGTCGACCGCTCTGCTCTGCATTGCCAGGCCCATCGTTGCGGTACTGTCCTGCGGCAACATCGGTGACCTTCGTGGCACTAACCGCGTGACTCTTTGAGGTAGGTTATGCAAGGTAAAGTAGTTGTCGGACGCCGCCGTCGCCACCATCGCCGTCGCCGCTGCCGCCGTCGCGTCCTGGCCGACGACCTGGCCGCCATATTGGTCCGATAGGAATCCCAGGAGAAGGGCCAGGAGCATTAATCCCCTTATGATCATCTCTTCTATCTCACCGCGACACGCCCACCTGCCTTAGCCAAATTCCGGCTCACGGTGATTCGTCGTCGGCATAAAATCGCGCGCTCCGATTACGCACTATCTGTCGTTCTTCCTCCTCATGATCGTGGCCGGCGATAATCCCGTCGTCATCTTCCACGTCTACGTATCGGCGCATCATTGCACGTATCGCGACATCCTCCAAGGATGGAGCTTAATCGCGCGCAATGACGTGAACCGTCGTCCTCTGTCCGGCGTTGCGTTGCATTTTTTCCTCGAGAGATCCGATTTAAGCTCACGTACCAAAAGATGGTGGGTGCTTTCTTTTCTGTCTTTCGTTCTCCTTTTCTTTATACCTATTTCTCTCTCGTTTTCTGTGTCTTTCCTTATCTTGTTTCCTCCCTCTCTTCTCTCTTCTTCTCTCTTTTCTTTGCCGCTGAAAGTCAAGTGTATACGAGAGAAGACTTCACCCGGCAGAGAGGGCAGTGACCTGCCGAGAGCCGCGCCTCGCGAAATGCGCGTCTACGGATGCTCGAGAACGGCTCGCAAACACGAAAACGAGACGTTTGGACACTTTTTCGATTAGTGATCCGAGATCAATGAATCAAAAGAACGTATCTTCTTTCTTTATCCAAGGAACGAATTCTCTTATGTAAAGCTTATTCTCTTCTTCAAGTTCTTGTATCTCGAGAATACATACCTACGTCACGTGCTAGTTTCTTCGTTTTCTTTCGATATATATACATATATATATAAGAATATAAATTTTTTCCAATAAAAAAGATCTTTGATGGTAACGAACAATTGCTTTTTCGTAGCGATCTCGAGATCGCTCTCTCGAAACACTCAAATCCTTCAGAATTCACAGTTTTATCACTGGCCCGTGCTTAGGCCCGCTAGGCCCAACAATGTAAACACTGCACAGAGACGAGATCCAATATTTGAAGCACACAAACACGATTCGCGATCAATATATACATATATATGTATTCTCGCGCAATATTGATACGACCGAACGAATTTAGTGACCGAGCCTCGAATTTACGATTCACTCTCGCGTTTGCGACTCACCGCTGGACCCGCAGGGATTGCGCTATTTTTTGCGAAAATCGTCAGGAAGTTCACGCGATCGCGATACGAGGCTCATTCGAGTTCGCTGATGGTAGCGATCTCGAGTGCAACACAACGGGTTCGCACGAGCGCGTGCCCTTCGGGGTAGGCGTTATCGGGGGATGAAGATAAATCTCGTGCGGAAGAAACGTTTGACAGCGGAAGAAGAGAGTAGAAATAGAAAGGAATAAACACGCGCGAAGGGGCCGCGATGAGCGCGACGTAAGGCCCCGAAAAAACGCGGAAATTACACCGCGGAGAAGAATGTTGCCTTCCCGAGGACTGACCTGACTCGACTGAATCGAGCCGGTCCCAGAACCACTGCCAGGAGAGGCATTCTTCGGGCTAGCTGACGCCGTCCCTCTCCGATCGAATCCTTTCTCTGTCCTCCTCTCGCTCTCTCTACATTTTTCTTCTCTCTCTCTCTCTCTCTCTCTCTCTCTCTCTCTGACGTAAGGCCCCGAAAAAACGCGGAAATTACACCGCGGAGAAGAATGTTGCCTTCCCGAGGACTGACCTGACTCGACTGAATCGAGCCGGTCCCAGAACCACTGCCAGGAGAGGCATTCTTCGGGCTAGCTGACGCCGTCCCTCTCCGATCGAATCCTTTCTCTGTCCTCCTCTCTCTCTCTCTATTTTTCTCTTCTCTCTCTCTCTCTCTCTCTCTCTCTCTCTCTCTCTCTCTCTCTCTCTCCCTCTCTCCCTCTCTCTCTTTCTGGCTATGTCTTTACCCCGGCCACTCCGCGCGAGGCCCCTATCGATATCACCTTCTCTGTCCGCTCTGAGAAACATCGTGGCTCTACCGCGTTCCCCTGCTCCCCGATAATCGCCCTCGCTCTTTCTATCAACATTGCTCTTTCTCTCTTCTTCTTTCGCTTCCTCTCTTTCATGTCAAGAAACGTTCGATCTCCTATCTTTGTCGCTCTTTCTTTTGCCAAACGCTCATTTTCTTCGCTCTTACCTCAGTTCTCCTTCCCATCTCCCCTTCTTACGCTTTCCCGTTCCCCTACCCTTTTGCCATACCATTGCCTATCGGTGTATGGGCCTCTTCGTTAGTCGCACGAGGGCCTTTCTCTCCCTCCCGCTTGCTCTCTTTTGAGGCCCGCTGCTTCGACCGCAATCCTCTTCTCCTCTTTCACCCTCTCATCTACTTGTTCAGTCTTCCCTCCTCACCATCTTCCACGCGCGATCCTTCCACCTTCAACTCGCGCATCCCGTCGTTGTCTCGCTAAGATATTCTCCCTTTTGCCCTCGAGGAACGAGCAATGTGGAGGCTCAGGTATGCAAGATGGCCGCTGCGCGCTGGAACCCCATGCCCCATGCGACGAGAACGTTGCTTCAGGTTAACGGGAACGAGAAAGATGTAGCGAGAACAAGAAGGATATAGAATGAACAAGAGGGAGAAAGAGTGCGACAGTAAGAGAATGAGAGAGAAAAGCAGGGGGGAAGTAAAAGAACGAAAGAAAGAGTAAAAGTGATACAAGAACTAACGAGAAGAAGGATGACAAGACCAGAGAACGAGAGATGAACAATGGGTGGGGGAGGAGAGAAAATACTTGGAAGGGGGTGAGCAGGGGATGCCCCGGCTTAGGGGGTGTAGTGCAGCGAGACAAGGATGGAGGAGTGAGTCGCGAGATCCGGACTCACGGCCCTATAGATATGTTCGCGGGCTTATGGTCACTTTTATAACTAATCCGTTACTACGATCATGCGCGCGCGCGCGAATGTTTCGCTCAATCCTCTAGGTTCTCTTCCCTTCGAATTAATTCGCTGTCTCGATTCTTCGGTCTTTTTCATCTCTCTTCTCTCGTGTTTGAAAGCTTTGAAATTGAAAATTCAATTGTTCAATTTCGGAACCAGCAGATGCACAAAAACTAAAACTGATATACTCAATATATCGCAAAATATCGTACTCATAAAAATGTGTGCAAATATGTTTCTTTAAATGCAATAATGCTAGTGCTCCCCTTCGAAATGTTTACACGGTTAAGATCACTGGGCGAATGCAAATTTAATAAAAGATTTTATACAAAAGAAGTCTAGAGCAAATTGAAAAATAAAATACTTCTTTAAATAATGTAAAATTTTTATTCAAACAAATAGAAAAATGTTTTTTTATTAAAAAATAGTTATTTTTAATAACAAAATCAAGATAAAAAATATTAAAATAGAAAAACAGCATTCCTGGCATTCTCAACAATAGTGCCTATGCATGCTGGCCTAAAATCTCAATTTTGATCAATTACCTAAAATACAAAAATAGACATTTTTTATCTTACATATATACGGAGGTATGTATATCAGTTGAAATTCTGATTTGGTTTACCGTTTTACGTACATCATAGAATGAATCTTGTCGTTTTTTTTTTCAATTTGATCCACATGTACGTAGATAAAAGTAAGTACAAGTTATTTTGTCGGATGAGAGTAAATAAGACTGTCCGAGATCGAGAAACATGCAATTCTTTATCCTTATCTAATAACAGAACGATCAGAAGAAATGGACGAGTCTTCTCTCGGTCTAAAATAGCGATGAAAATTTGAGAAGAATCCATTGATAATAGATGACAATGCGTCAAATGACACGCATTTCACGTTATCTTTAAGTTTATGCAGCCTCGAAGTAAAGTGCATTTGCATTGCTCTCAAATTACATCGAATCCTTAGATGTGCGTCTCGTCGACATTAACTGTCGATGTTGTGCAATGATAAATAATAATTTTTCTACCTCCAACAATTTATAAACTTGTGCAACGAAGAATATAGGTGGAATGTGATTTAAGAAGTATAAATTAATAAAATCATGAATATGACAAAACAATCTCTTAATCGAGAGACACGGTAGTATCTCGCGCCAAGTCACGCGTAGCAACAACGAAGCACCCCGGGTATTTACACGCGAGTATATAAAACGAAAAGAGATGTTATGGACATCTTTTCGCTTTGCCAAAAAGATGATCTAAGAAAGACATCTTTTCGTCATCTTTTAATATTGTGTGTATATATATATATATTGTGTATACATTATTTTAATGTTGAGAATTTTTTTCCATTATGTTTTTATCAATTTCTAATCAATAATGATGTGATAAACAATTATAACAATTAAAATTCTACCAATATAAAAAATAATTTTCGATATTATTCATTATTCGAGAGAATCTAATTGAAAAAATTAATTCTAAAATCTATCATCTATATTTGAGAAACGCAACACAAATCGTGGCAAATCGTATTTATATACCATTCTAACAAAAATATTCTGTCGCTGTGTCAGAGAGAAAGAGGAGGGGGAGGGGAAGGGAGGAAAGATAAGCGCAAGTTTGATAAAAATTGGAATGCGAAGGCAGCAAGACAGATATATCTCTCCCGTCCTTTCTACTATTGCGCGTGGGTTTATCCTTTATATGTATAAACCTGTCCATACACATACAATACGAATTGAATATTATTTTACAGAGAAAACAAAATGCTTTTCTCAATATCATATATCACCTTGAAAAGGTCACTCAAGGTCAAGTCCATATTTTTATCATGTGGCCCCCTCGAAACCATGCAACTTTTGTCTGAAACATTTTTATCTATCGGGCTCAGTTTTCGAGATATTTGACTGTATCTAGACTTTTGGCCCAACCTGTATATTTCAATCAAAGTTGCAATACATAATATTAGAACAAAAAGGTATTAATTTTTAGTGTATCATTATTTTAAAAAAATTGTTTTATTTTTTTACTTTAATTTTCTTATCCCGAAAATCTTCATTTAAAAAGAAAATATTCGTTTCTGTAAAAAAATTTTAATGCATTGAATTATTCCTGAAAATAAAAATAATTAAAAATAGCAAAAAAGCCATCATATTAAAAATACTAATTGAATCCTTTTTTATTTGAAACATAAATTTTTTCAAATAAAAATAAATTTTAAAATAAAATAATTTTTTTGGTAGGTATAATTAAGTATTTTATCTAAAATAAAATATAAGACAAAGGAAATAGTATGTGTATGTATTATAAATATATAAGTACATTATAATTAAGATAGATATATGCAAAAGTACAACAATAGATAAAAACTCTACAATACAGATGCTGAAAACAATAGAAAAACAAATAATTAGTAACAGATAATATATCTCTTTCGTGACAAATTTATCTCCATTAATGGTTTCCTAATCTGAAGCGTTACGATGATCTTTGATAAATCACGAAGATCTCTGATAGCGTTTGTCGACGATATTCGAGATGAAAAGAGATGCTGCTTTAGAATTCTTTTACGCTTATCGGCATCAAAGTTACAAAAAATAAAACTGAATTAGTTCTTACAACTTGAAATAATCGCGTAATGAAGGGAGAGAGAATATAGAAATAATCATAAGCAGATTATCTCGTTTATATTTCAAGATTCAATCCATTACGATAAGACCGTATTCATACTTAACAACCTTCAGGGTCACTTTAGAACCACTTATTAAACAAATTTGATACAACGGATCAAACAATCTCAAAACTTGGTTTAATTCGGTAGCAATCAGTCCGATCAGGATTACTCCGATCGTGCTGTCTATTTCCAGACAGCACATGACCCTAAAAGATGTCTAAAAAACGTCTTATCATCCTTTAGACATTTTTAAGATGTCTTCTTGGGTTCGCACACGAAATGAATATCATAAGTGCTCGTGGTTATATTACATATTTAATATCAATTGTCTAATTCATTTATTGTTAATATATTTTGTTTAAATTTATATCTTTACATTAAATAAATTAAATTTACAATTTATGCTAGATATGAGTACGGATCATGTTATGTAAATGCTATAAAAAATACGATATATCAAATCATTTATTTATTAATATATAAAATGTATCACAGAAATTAAACAATTTTCTTTAGAAACAAATATTTGCGATATATTGTGCTATCTTGAGCTTTGACTATTTGTAAAGCGTCCTATAAATAGATTGATAAAGAATATGACATTATCATAATAAAGAATATATCGGCATTATTATAAGACGAAATTTAGAAAAAAGCATTTTTCAAATGTCGTTTTATTAATAATATAGGCAATATGATTATGAAAGCATAGATAATGAAATAAACGCACTTAATATACAAAGAGAGATTCGTGAATACAATAATGAGGTATATATATTCATTTTGTTTATATTGTATTTTTTTGTATTATTATATTTTGTTTATAAACTATCTATACAAATATTTAATTTTTGTTATAGGAAAGAAATTCAAATAGAACATCTAGCATCACAGATTCACAAGAATAATAAAACATAACTAAAATAATTATATTTATATATATGTACAAGAATAAAAAGACGAGGTATGTATGTATATATATATATATATATATATATACACACACATTGACAAGGTAAAATTTTTTATTTGAGAATGTTTATTTTTTTTATTTTTTTATAGGACAAACATTTTCAGAATGACAATATCTATATAAACATATAAACAAGACAAACAAAAATTATTTTATACAGTTTCTCTCAACGATGAAAGTTTTAGTTTCATGTAAGTTTTATTAACAAAATATACAACTTGTTGTCTTTAATGCAATAAAAGATAAAGTTATTATATAAAAAAAGGAGATCGCCTCTCTTAATAAACTAAGTTCACTTCTTAGGCGCGCCATAGGCGTCTGGCATCCGTTCTATCGTGTACCTGTGTTGAGATACATACATTATTGGCACACCTGGTATCTTCCGTATCCTTTTTTTTAAGTCTTTATCATTGGTCGCAACAATATAACACTTGTGCTGAAATAATAACATAAAGCACAATTCAATGTTTTTATCTGTAGCATTAAACAAAATAAATTTATATTACCATTGTCAAATACAAATACGAAATATTTGTTAATAATTGTATTATAATAAGATTTCATGGTCTATATTTACTTGCGTCACTCTGTTCACGAGACAGTCATCTGCATAGGTTCCTTTATGCATACATTTTAACCTTTCAAATCGTGGATCTTTGATGATTCTCAATGCCAATTTATACTTCTGCCCAAGCTTCTCCAACTCACCCATCACACAATCTGTTATATATGGTGTACACTTTGCGTAGAGACATTCCATCATATTTTGTACAATATCCAATTTATTTTTAATAGAAAAGTTAATAAAGTTTGTATCAACTAAAATATGATATGGTGGTCCAAGTTGTGTGTTATATTGAAAAAATAATGCTGAGGATTGTTTTGGCCTGGAATCATAAATGTATAGTTTCATAGTTTTAAAATATAAAAGAAAACATTTTTTGATAATCTTTCATGTCATGCAAAAATATTTCAAAACTAATGTAAATATATTGTTAAAATTAAATTTAACATTATATATACATACGTTTCTGTAATTTTTATTTTAGTCTGATCTTCTTTTGGAGTTTTCTTGGATGGCAGCCGTTTTTCTGGTTTTCTACAAAAATAGTTTATTTCTAATATTTCTTCTGTATATTTTATGTACGCATATACCAATAATTTGCTGAAAATTGTATTCAACATAAACTTACATTCGTGAATCACTCAGACTAATCATCTTCTTCATCTGAGCAAATCTCTGCATCACAACTTTACGTGTTTTCTTATTTTTCGGCTGTAACATATAATTAATTTTACTGCAAGTTTTGTATTGTGAAAAATAATGATATGCAAAATATTAAAAAGATCGAAACACATAATATAATCTCAAACATTCATAAATTTAAGGGTAAACATCTTATAACTTATTTATAAAATATATGTTTTTATTTAAAAAAATATATTTTTACCATTGTAATATATTTTCTATATATTTATAATTCGGACTATTCGGAATAGCTATGCACGGAGTGATTTTTCCTAACCTAACCTGACTCGACTTTACATGCAGTAGACCACGTGACTGTCTTGGCCATAACCATAGACATAGTATATCTAGACCGAGCGTTTGCCTTTATTTAAGGAGTGGGGGTAAAGATACACGTAGAAAAGGACATACTCTGTTTCGTGCCCCTTGCGTTCTCTCTCGCTCACACGTAGCATGATGAAAGAGAGCGCTATGCTCTGTACGTCCTTACTTATATCTAGACCGAGCGTTTGCCTTTATTTAAGGAGTGGGGGTAAAGATACACGTAGAAAAGGACATACTCTGTTTCGTGCCCCTTGCGTTCTCTCTCGCTCACACATAGCATGATGAAAGAGAGCGCTATGCTCTGTACGTCTTTACTATATGTCCTTTTCTACGTGGGCATCGGCCCCCACTCCTTAAATAAAGGCAAACGCTCGGTCTAGATATACTATGTCTATGAGATATACTATGTCTATGGCCATAACATATAAAATACATAGTCTATTGGGCTCTATAATATACTGACTGGCCAATCATAGCCATTCTTGCAAAGAATAGAATGATTGTGATTGGCCAGTATAGTATTTAGTACGTATTAAAGTATAACGGTGTAAACTAAGCCATTACAGTTTTATAGTTAAAAACATTGACTTTATATATTTTACAAATTGAAAGAAAAATAAATAATTCACTATTTCCAATTTCATTATTTAAATTCATACAAAAAGAGACAGCGAAGTAGCCCGAGTGTAGAAAGTGCAAACAATGAACGAACAGACCTACTGGCTGTGCACATTTACGCATGCGCATGATTTGCAGTCTACCGGAAAGACGCCATTTACTCAGCCATTGTTGCTCAGAAAGTGCTCAGCGACGCAGCTCAGTCTTCGAGAGATTATTTGAGAATATTGGAGAAGAGAAAATGCCGAAGAAATCGAATAAATCCTGGGGTGGTCGCAACGGCCGCGGAAATGCTCCTTCCGAGGATAAGCATTATTTTGGTAAATTATCAATTTTCTATTTCTTTATCCTAATTTTGTGACTCGTTTATTATCGCACAGCACATCGTTTGTAAATCGCAGTACTCTTTTCAAAGGATCCTGCTCACATTTTATCTCGATACACTGATCTTTCCAATCTAATTTGTTGTACTCTTTCATGTATCACTGTTTTTCTTATATTTGAGACTTGATGTCGGGAAAACAAAATAAGCATGTGCCATAAGAATTCACATCTAGTACATGAATTTTCCATATTCACTCTCTCTCATTTTCATATTATTAATTCTCATATTATTTCATATTCACTTTTTCCCATATTATTCTACATTATTTATTAAGAATTTCCATGTTCATGTACAGTTTATATAAAAATTTTCTTTCACATAAATTGTACAAGTTAATAAAGTAAATTTATCTATATAGACGATGAACTAATTGAAGCAAAAATGCTAAATTAATTTGCAAATAAGTATCTTACATAAAAGAAAGAAAATGTTTTTGTGTGTTAAAAAAAATATGTTGTGATTAGTATATCATAATATACAAATTTTATACACTTGCATTTATTTTAATTATTTAATAAAGTATTAAAATATTAGACAAAAAGAGTCAATGCATATTTTATTTATTTGTAAACTAAAGCTGTTGAAAAATAATATTAGATTACAACGCTTAAAATAACCGTTCTTTACAATTACATATTGTCATTGTTTTATATAATTTCAACTATTATTTGCTTATAGGCCATGACGATCGTATGGGAAGAAATAATGGAGGATCTCATCTCGAGGGAACCAGACCTCGTGTATCGTTTAAAACACATAGGCCCAACAGAGAAATATCGCGTAACGCAGTGTTAACAAGTTTAGATGAGGATATTCCAATGACGGGCAACAATAATAACAATAATAGACAAACAAGACAAGTTATTATTGCCCCGAGAGACAGAGATAGGAGAGATAGATGGCAAAGAAAGATTGCTCGAGGAAGAAATAGCCCTCTACCAAACAGGAATTTCAAGGGAGGCCAATCTGGTCCTAGGATACAAGTACTTCCAATAGGAGAATCCAATTGGTATAGAATCAGCGTAAGTGTGATAGTTTTATTACATTATAATTTATGTAATTATTTATATGTTAGGATTTAAAATGAATTTCTACTTCTAATGCTTATATATTGCAGATACCATATGGACAGAAATATGAAAAAGATTACGTTTTAAGAAGCCTATTAAACTACATGGCACCTGAAGTGTTCATTCCAATAACGGTAAATATTTTTTTTTTTTTTTTTTATAGAATTTATTTTATTCAATATATGTATTTACTGTAATACAATATATTTGATAAATATCAGTATAATTTAAAATTCTTGGTTCTTTACAAAATTACATTCAATTATAACATTAGAAGTAAATAATCATGCAAATTTTTCGTATAAAACCAGTTTTTTTATTAATTCATATACATAAAAATGTTGATCTATTTTGATACAAGAAAAAGATTCATGTGATTCATTTATTATGTATTATATATTTTATTATGCCTCCAAATATAATTGCAATGAGAACAAAAGCTTTAAATTGCATAATACGCATGTGTATTATGATATTATGGTAAAAAGAATTCAATTTTTAAATCGTTGCTAACTTCAGGAATTTGTTTACAGTATAAGATAATGGGAAACGAAGCTAGTTTTTATGTTGATGATCACAAGACAGCAAGTGCATTACTAAATTGTGATCGTAAGATTACAATGACAGATGGCTTTAAACTACAAGTGAGGGTAAAACCAGGATTTCCACAATGCGAGATTGATGATAAATTGAAAGAACGATTAAAACAAGCAATGTCCAAGAGATATGTGCAAGAAACAAACGCTTTGGATTTGTCAAAGTTTCATCGAGATGCTGGTTAGAAATCATTTCAAAATCATAAATTTATTAAGAATAATAATATTAACTCTAAAGACTCTCTTAATATTAACTTTAATGCCAATATTAAAAGATTACATATATATGGTTTACAGATCTCATTGGTGATTACTTTTGTGCATTGTTCCGCCCTGCAATGTTGATGACTGTGTTAGATATTGTGGGCGAACACATACCAACTTTGGAAGCCTTGAACTTAGAAGGCAATAAACTGCAGAACATTGACAGGCTCAGCGTATTAAATAAAAAATTTTCAAACTTGAAGATTCTTTACATCAGCGATAACAAGGTGAGTATCTCATATGCATATAATTGTATTTATCTTTGGTTCTATTATATGACAATATAAATTATATTGTAGATTAAGGACATCCATCAAATAGACGCCATTAAAGATCTAAAATTGGAAGAATTGAAATTAATCGGAAACCCTGTTTGTAACAAGTATAAGTCTCGACAAAATGACTATATTAGGTAATGTATTATTCTAACATAATCTTTCATTAAAAAGAAGAGTATTGAAAATAAATTGGTTATTTGCCAGACAATGTTGCAACAATAATTATTATACTTATTTTGTACTCTTTATAAAAAATAAGGGATTATTAAATAGTTTAATTCTCTATTAACTTTAATAACAGTTAAATATATTATTCAGTTACAAATATTTATAGAGATAGGTAAAAATGCATGTTTACTTAACATAATCCTTAGACATCAGTCTTATGCAGAATTAATTTGAATTACATCTAATAAAACATTATCACATGTTAAATTTATTTCAAAAATTGTTTATTATTATTATTTATTTTTTACTAAATTATTCATATACTTTCTATTGTATTATTTAATAATAAAGCACATGTGTGTTTTTGTTATTATACGATTAACATGGAACTTGCGGGCTTTTCTTTCTCGACCATAGCGACGTCCGGAAACGGTTCCCGAGACTGCTGCGTCTGGTGAGTATTCTATGCACTGTTATATATTTATATATTCGAAGTTATGTTTCTTCTCATGTACACGCGCGACATGAATTTTTGTTACATCATTCGAAAGGACGGCACAGAACTACCACGACCAATCGTATTCGATGTGATTGACGAGGCTGCTAAGGTACCACCATCGCAGAGAATGTTTGTTGCTGATATGAAAGCACAGGAAATTGCAAGCCAGTTTTTGCAACAATATTTCACAATATTTGACAGTGAGAACCGTCAGCCTCTACTTGACGCGTACGACGAACATGCGTGCTTTAGTATGACAATAACTACTTCTCACAATAATAAGTAAGTGTTTGTTGAAAAGAATATTACATTTTCTTATTAATTAATATGTTAATATTTTTTTTAATTACCATATTTTAACAAATATATTCTTAATATTGAATATTCGAAAATATCCAGAAAATTAAATTTTTTTTTGTCGCTAGGTTAAACGGGTATCTCATGGAGAATCGAAACTTGTTCAGAATATATGATATGGCCAGAAGACAGAAATTATTGAAACATGGTAGATTACCTGTAGTTTCTTTTATATCAGAAATGCCACGAACAAAGCATTTCCTAGATACCTTTACCATGGACATTGCCCTTGCTACGGTAAGTTATTATGAATGGTTTAAATCATACAACAATTATATCATGTTAAATATTAGGCAAGAGAAGAAATTTATGTTGCAATTTATTTCTTGTCGCTTATAGCAAGTAATGATGTTCATCACGATAACGGGCTATTTTCAAGAGCTTGATAATAAAGAACAGCCTATTCGCCACTTCAACCGAACATTTATAATTGTTCCGGAAGGTAGTGGATATTGTATTCGCAATGAGCAATTACATATTAGTCAACCGCCTGAGGCGCAACTAAAACAACTGAACCAGCAACTAAACAACCAACCGACCCAACCGGAGGCGTCGGCGCTATTGCCACAAACATCCACGCAACCGGCAAAGTCTATACTTCCAGAATTGAGTGAAGACATAAAACAGCAAATGACAATGACGTTGAGTCAGCAAACGAACATGAATTTGGAATGGAGTTTGAAGTGTTTACAAGAGACGCAGTGGAACTACAATAATGCGCTCTCTGCATTTCAAGAGTTCTTCAAACGTGGTCAAATACCATCAGAAGCGTTTACGAAATAACATGTATGTGAGTAAAAAAATTTATCACTGTGATAATAATAATGGTAAAAAACGCGAACTTCGTAATATCACTCATGTTCGTTTGCTTATTTCTCAATGCATGTATATTTCTCTTTATGGTTTGCATCAGAACCTGAAAAAAAGTATTAGACATATTAGAGAAATTATTTAGAATCCGTCTTGTTTTAATTTACATTAAAAAAGATGCTCATAGTACATGCGAGAGAAAATTTGTTAAAAAATCAAGCAAGATCGTAATGTAAGAAGGAGAATGTAATCTTTAATTTTTATAAGTGGTTTTTAACAAATTTTTCTGAGAGATACATATAATACTTACACTAATTAGCAGTACCAATGAAAACATTGTAAAACTATAAATTTTTAACAGAATTATATATAGAATAGTTTTCTATATATAAAATTCTTCTGTTTATAAAAACATTTGTAATAGGAAAACAAATTGATGAATAAAAATAAAATAAATAAGTGATAAAATTAAAAAAAAAAAAAAAATCTTTTTGTGGCATGTGTATGATGAAGTGTCATTTGTAATAAAATATTAGAATATGACTATAACTGAAAATACAACACAAAAAAGATTATTCATGTAGTTTTCATTGATACTGTTATATTGATAAGTGCGTATGTATGTGTGTACATTATCATAGAATATATAAACAATGATAACTATCATAAAAATGAAGATTACAAGTGCATCTGATAAAACAAGTCGGATACCATCATACTCTAATCAGTATAGAAAAATATTATTATATTAAATAATTTTAACATTTTATTATAGATTTTTTCTCGATCTTTAGGTTTTGATGCATAATATAAAAATTCCCCAAAAAAGTTGAGTTACTTTACGGAAAAGATAAACATATTAATTTTATATTAAAATGCAAACATTTGAGTCAGCAGATTAGTGTAATATCTATATAGTATAAATACCAAAATATATTTTTGGTATATAACAAAATTATCAATCACTATTAATCTCTCTTGTAACATGCCCTTAGTTTACAACATATTGTACATTACAAGTTCTAATGTATATCGATCAATCTTTTTTATTTACATGAAGTACAAACAAAAAAAGAAATTATACTTTATAGTGCTTTTATACTGCCGGTTCGTTTATGTTTTGTGTATATACAGTGATGTTAGATATTACAAAATTTAGATTTTGGTTAAACTTAAAGATAAGATTTAACCTATAAGACGAATAAAATATTAGACTTGCCTTGCAAAGGGAATAAAAAAACAATTAGGGATTTTATATAAAAAAGATCTCTACACAAATATATAATACTTTATGTTTTATATGAAGAATTTTTTATAAAATTCTGTAAAATTTTATAAAAAATTCTTACTAAGAAAAATTATATATAAAATCCCACATATATACTATCCCTAACTAGACCAAAAAGAAATGCGATTTTGATTTTTCAAAAAAGACTTTTCTTTATAACTATCTAGCGTCACTGTGTAGTTAGCACAAAATCTTTATATATAGAAAAATTAAACAGATATAGTTCGTGTATATATATAAAATTAAATTTCTCAAAAATAGAATATTATATTCTTGGTCTAATAATACATTAGATCTTATTGCGCGCACGGATTTATATTTACATATATATCTAAGTTTATAGCCTATAATAACTATTTAATTAGCAAATTTTTTTTCAAGGTAATTTCTAAAAAACAGTTAGTAATTTTCTAGAAGATAATATACACATATAGCGAACAATTTCTCTCTCGAAATTAGCATTTAATATGCACGATAGCGCTGTTGCACTGTATGAAAATAATTTTTTAAATAGTGTCATGTATGCGATCCTTGAATATATAAATTGTTATGCGTATATCAATTCAAGGAAAGCTCGATTACACTATGTGAGTATAAATTATCTGCAATATTCACTTATAAATTCGATTTTCTTTCTTTCTTTTTTTTTTTTTTTATTTTTATTTATTTTTATTTATTTATTTTTTTTTATTTTGCGATATATGTTAACGATTCGCATCAGTATATGCGATGCACAAAATTCAATATGAATTTTGTCATACTGAAAATGGTTCAGATTCCAACGGCACACCCTAACGCACATCAGTGGAAGAACGAAGAGCCAGAAACGAGAAGAGAGCTAGCATATAGGACAGTATTTCAAATTCCAAGTCTAGGACAGATATCCTGATTTCTAATTCGAAGTCTAATAGGATTGATACATGCGATACATCACCGGGAGATGAATCTGTTGCGGTTTGAATACTATCAGTTGGGTGTCTATCGCACTGTGAAGCGAGGAGCGAGAAGAGCGGCGCAGCTTTCTTTTGAAGGACATAGACCTCCAAAGTTATTATAACGAGGTGAACACGGTTATATGAGATGCAGCAGTTGCTGAACAAGCACATTGCAACATTTCTACATCTTATGATATATGCATGCAGCTTATATCATCACGATAACGTGTCTGCATTTCATCTATCTCTTGAAGTAGAAGATATCCTATATGCTTGAAGAAACAGAATTGACCTTTGGTGGTGTGTGAATGTGTCGTTAAACATATATTAAAATCACGTATGTTCTTATTAATGACAAAAAATCGCGTGGTAGCATGATTATAATATTGTTTAAGCAATTGTATTTTAAGAAAAAGAATATGGAAATAATTTATACTCACATATTTGTACGCACAATTATAACAGTTCCTTAATTAAAAAAAGAAAGTATGTAGTATCTACTTCGACACCTGTATAACACATGCGCAACAGGAAGATTATCATATGTAAAATCGCACAAAATCATAATTTATAATCGCAGATTATACAAAGCAACGGAAAACAAAATATGTCTCTTTTTATGTTCTTATATACAATACAAAAATGATTAATAGATATTTTGATTTGTAAAATTTGTATATGAATGGAAGAAATCTGCTTATATCATAAATGTTACATAAATATTATTGTTTGTTTCCCACAGAGGGAAAATAATGTAAATATTTATTATTCATATTATTAATGTATTGGGTGATAAGAAAATGTAAATGTTACACGAAGTGATGTTATATAAATACACACTTGTATAATTAAGAAAGTAAATCTTTGTATGGGCAATGTACTGTAATTGTATAATGTTATAAAAAAAAGAAAACATAATTTTTATTAAAAAATTAGATTTATTACTATTATTATTATATATAAAATCTACAATAACAATTTAGGTAAATATACAAAGAATCCTCTATTCAATATTTGTGATTTCTATTTTATTTCCATCCTCTATTATCTGTAAAGAATGCTTTTAACATTAGTTCTTATGGCGATTAATTTATTAATTGCGTATATTATATGCATTATTTTATATCTCGTTCGTTTTTAAAGCAGATAGTTCTTCCTTTGTCATTCTTTTAAAAAAACCCACCTATAATTGATAAGTAATAATCAATGATCTCAACACATTTTGTGAAAAAATAATAACGCAACGAAAAGTATGAGGACTTACCATACTTAATATAATAATAATAATGTATAATAATATTAGACCCAACGAAACCGACACTAGCACAACCCACAATTGCAATTTTTGCATCTTTGCGGTGTTACGAAATTCTGTCGTGAGATTTATATTACGTCTGTGTATAAAGTATATATTTCTTAAATCATAATACTATTTTCTAGATTTCATTACAGTTAGTAAAAAATTTATTATGACAACAATATATATACTCACCTAGCCTCTACGCTGAAAATTCTATTTGCCGGGCGTATAATTTCAACGTAAGCATCCGTGCTGAATTTTACAATCTTTGTTTCGTCCGACAATTTAAAATTATCTGAAAGTAATCATAAAAATAAAAAAAATGTACGTGATAGTAGTTTATATTAAAAACTACACGAAGAAAATTTTACAATACAATTACATGAAAAATATATTCTCTTTTACATTTATTGTACAGCTAGAATATAACAATATTAAGATACTTATTATTATAAAAATTGTAAATTATATGCATTGTTCTATTATCTGTTAACGATTATGTATTTGTTTGTACAATCAAATATTTGAATAATTACAAAATAATTCTTCGTATTATTGTGAATAAAAATATCATGATTTCTCTTATATGTTTAGTATATTCCACGATAACAAAAATTATATCGTAATTTTACTTCAATATTTTCTCCGTGTACAATATTTTTTTCTTGTTTCAGATGATTCCATACCTCTGAGCTTTGTGGCGTTGATAATTAATCTCATCGCAAATTTGCCGATATCTTGTCGCGTTTTTAACGCGCTGAGATCGCAGTACACTGTCGAGCAATTCACACCGTATGTCGAACAGTTCAAATATATAATGTCGCTTTCTGTCAGATTATCGTTTGAAATTTCTGATTTTATTGTTGTCGTATTATAAAACGTTTGCAATATGCGAATCGCCATAGTCGTACGATCGTTCACATCTCTCTTGAAAATATCATGCGTTACATTTTGCAGTGTACCGTTATTATTATCTGAATTGTATGCGTACAAATCGGATGTTGTTTCCCCTCGAAGCTCATTTTGTTGCACGTCTACTAGATCTATCCCGTCCGATAAACAGTTATAATATTTTCCAGATATATATATCTGAAAAAAATATTTTTAAATATCTTTAAATACATTAAAAAAAAAAATAATAATAATAATATAACAAATAATTATGATAATTTTCTATACATTAGGCTCTATATAATATATAATATACCAACCCGCGGTTTATATAAGAACACTAGAGAACCTGCATTCTCTGTGGCAACTGGTATGTTGACAGTGAATCGCGCTTCATCTATAGACGTCGCACCGAATTTCAATATTTGATAAGTATGCTGAAACGTTATATTTAATTGATCCTTATCCATATTAGGTAAATAATAACTTCCCTCAATCGTTTTTCTGCAACATGATATATCTATTATTATACAAGATACATTTTTTTCTCTTTCTTAAAGATACTTTCTAAAAGATACTGACCCATTTAATGATAAGGATGCCTCGCTATGTAAAGTAAGCCAAGATTTAATCATACGGGTTCCATGATTTACACTACGGGTTCGTATTTCCGTAGAGAACTCCAGAATACGTCCGTGCAATGAACTATCGGTCAAATGTCTCATATCCAGATCCAGTTTAACAACTTTCTGCAAAAAAAGAAGAAAAAGATACCGCTAAATTTGTTAAGAAAAAATTCTTAAATTTGTTCCTTTTTAATCTTGGCACTCATTTATTCGAAATAATGGACAAAACAAACGCTCGTAATTTTATTGTCAATACCTGTTCATTCATTCCGAGCGGATTACTAACGTTACAAATAACCATCAAGTTATCTCCATCTGTATCCTCTTCACAAAATGGTAAAATACTACGTAATACTATGCCTTCCGGAAAGATAAATACAATTATCGTAAGATACGCCGGCTCAGCACAATTCTCCAAGCGTATTTCCAATATGATATCATTAGAACCGATCACCCACGAATTATTCTCCCTATATTTTGTATTTCAATATGTATAAGTGAATCATTTCGCGGTACACTTTTTGAAGAAACTCAATGTTACTTGCCTGACTTCCCGAAATTTAACTATTGCAGATATATTGGAGTTACAAACTCTGTCCTCCCCGCATCCAATGTCAAAGGGAAGCAAAAGCGTTTGCGCGCTCTTCGATTTAGCACTCTTATTCTCAACGGGACATATTTTGCAGAATTCAGACGAATCATTATATGTAAAATTATGCGTTGCATAAATAGTGATCGGTTCGATAAAATCTTGAATATTATCCTGCAATGTGCATTTTGTCAGAGAAAGATACGGTATTAATAAAATAATTATAAATGACATTGAACGTATAGATGTTTAATACCGAAAGTGTAACATTAGTATTCATACACATATGAACGGGAGGTTCCGTTGAGACCAATTCCAATAAAGTCTCCTCGGTACGTTTATATCTCTTGTCCACAATAAGGGAAATCTTAAAAGCTGTAAATTATGAATTGAAATATACACATATATATAATATATATATATATATATATATATATATATATATATATATATATATATATATATATATATATATATATATATATATATATATATATATATATATATATATATATATATATATATATATATATATATATATATATATATATATATATATATATATATATATATATATATATATATATATATATATCATAATAAAACAGAAATAACATTATAATAATTTATTGTTTAACACTTTATAACTTACCGCGTGTATTCGCCGTGTCGTAACCGTAATAATTGACGCACACTGTAATTAAAAAGTCGCTGATGTTTCTTTGTAAGGTGCTCGGAACAGTGTAAATGGTCAAATTGGTTCTTACGACGGGTTTACTCCGAAGTACTACGACATGTCCTGATTTATACGCGCCTATTGCGACGTCTGCATACCTGCGAATAGATGTAGATGTTGCAAATAATTAAATATGAAATTGTAAAGATATTTAAATACGATTTAATCTTTAAAAAACACAGATAAAATTATATAACCAGAAATTCTCAATCTAAAGATACAACGAATTTACATGCTATTTTTTTCTATTTTTGCAAGTTTTTAATAAAAAATATAATTAATTTTCATTTGTTTGTCCATTTAGTACAAAGAGCAATGAAATTCAATGTATAAAATTGAAAAAAATAAAAGATGTTTTATATTAATCGCTATCAATAAATTTTGAATTTAAGGATTTACTCCTTCTCCTGTGTTTTATCAAAATAATTTACTATAAAATATAAATAGTAAGTTTATATAGATTTTTCAGCTAACAAAACATAATTCACTGATGAAAAAACATGATACAAAATTGCACAATGATTTACCAACCCATTGCTATCTATATCGATTGGCTCAGATATCGAAAATCCAAACGTTCGTATGTTCACCGGAAGATTATGACCGTGTGATTGCATCGTGATCCTTTGCGACATGAAAGGTCTTACTTTGTCCTTTAAACTTGTATCGCCGTTATAAATGTAAATTACTCCAGATTCCTCCCAAGGTGCACCCACAATAATGTCTAGAATTCAACAAAGAGTGTATCATTACAGGTTGATCAGATATCGACAAAGTGATTTCACATTTTAATTATAAGCACAATTAATCACCATTAAAACCATCTCCATCTAGATCTCCGCTCGCCACCGCGTAACCGAACAGCGCATCCTCGCTGGCTCCTTCTAAAATCGCGACTGCCTCAAATTCTCCCTGTATCAATAAACTTTTGATAAAATTTCCCGTATAGCGTCAGAAAAATTTGATATTCGAGTATTTATAATTTAATTCCCGAAGGATCAATAATTAATCTATTTGAGAGTCGAGATAAAGTACTAGAGAATTCTCGTTTAGAGATGAAAATCTCGGATTCGTATATACATCAATAACGAAAGTTTACCTTCGGGCTACCCAAATATACGTGGACTCTGCCGTTATCGTTTCCCCAATGTGGTGCTCCGATCACGAGATCGTGCAGACCGTCTTTGTTTAAATCGCCCGTAGCCAAACTCGCTCCAAAAAATTCGCCGATGTCAGTGCCCCAGAGACGAGCAATCATATAATTTCTATCCGGATCAATTATAGCGACCTATTATTGTAAAATATTTATGTCGCAAATTGCTATAAATATCTCTTGTTCTTGCGTACGGAGTATAAGTAATAATGTTTTACCTGTCCCACGTAATCCCAACCTGGATCTGCGCAGGCATAAAGAGATTGATTTCGGTCGAAATAGTATCCTGATGTTACCGCGTAGCCTAAAAAAATTGTAGCTTAATTAAAATCCATTTATCATACGGAATAGAAGTTCACATTATGTATAGAATTCATACCAAACTGCGACAAATTATCGATTATTGGTATTTCCATAGTTTCCGTATATGTCTGATGAAAATTGCGTCTTTTAAAACGTACTATATTGATACTACCGGTAATATTGTCATTTGGTCTTCCTATGATACGATTTATCGTTTCTTCACCCTGATGATTAAATTATTTTGTCATTAACGCGTGTATATTCAATAGAAATATTTTAGTAACAAATTTAGCAAAACAAGACTTTTGTACTATACGAAAAATAAAGATATATTGATAAAAATATATAAAACTATAATAAGAATAAAATATCGTTAACATACCCGCGGTGATGCAAAGGTAATGGAGAAACCGTGGATTGGATCAAACCATGTATTTTTGCTGTAATCTAATATATTTAATAATATCTTTATGTTAATTTATAATATTTAATATTAACATCTTTTTCAAAAAAAAAAATATATGTATATAATGTTATCTTATATATATATAATGCAAAATCGAACAAAGATCGATAAAAAGATTCGGCTAAAAGCCATAGGGAAGAACAAAAGACGACAGAGAAGTAAATACCAAAATATTCAATTTCAAACAATTCCGCATCTAATTTTGTCGACGATATCTGATCGCTGTAACACATGCCCTGCATAGTCTCTACATATCTATTATTCTTGAATATAATGTTCATAATTGTTCGTGGTGCGCATATCTATAATTAGATAAATAATTATAAAAGACATCACAAAGAAAGGGGATATATATTAAAATTCCTTTAGAAATTGTTCATTTTTCTTTATACCGTAAGGAAACCGCTGCTTCTTTCTATCGACATCGCACCACCGAACCAGGACTGTTTTTTCCTTATACGTCCACGCATATCAAGTTGATGTATATATATTTCTTCGTCCTTGATGACAGTCGGTTCGATCTCTATACACCGGCCCGGCAAACCGCACCGATAAACCACACCGGGTTCGTTTAGAAATTTTAAGTTCACTCGATCGCGCGATGGTCGCGTATAATTTCCGCGGGGTGCTCCTATGAGCAGCCTGTTAAAATAAGATAGATACATTTTTACATGGTTCTATAAAAACAATAGAAAATATCTTATAAACATAATCAGTAATTATATAAATAAATATAATCAAAGTTGAAAACAAAATTACTTTCTAAAAAGTAATTCATTATCATTATATAGAGACTATTATATATAGGTATTATATATAGATATCAAAAAAATATATTTTTAAAAAATCCTCTTAAAATTATTTATTATTTATTGTCTTATTTATTTTGTGCGCATATAATAAGTACATATAAATTGGCATACATTACCATGAAGAATCCTTCTGCGAGTCACGATGCAACAGCACCGAGTAACCGAAATAATTACGTTCGAATCTTGTGTGCTGATATTCGTCCGCGTTAGCCGCACTATTCGGATATAATATTGGATGATTTGTATCGATGTTATATGCAGACACGATTAAAAGATTGGAAATTAATATGAATTTCATTGTCATCGCAGTGAAACACTCGACTCACGAGCTTCTACAATGAAAATAAATAATATTTCTATACATTTGTAATACGTCACCAGCAAATATGATATAGAAAAATAATATTACTATTTTTTTTTAAATCTTCTTAATAATTACATGACAAAAATATATCAAAGAAATAATGTTAAATTATTTTTTGTAACATATATGTGAGTAGATAATACAGAACTTAGCAAATAATAGTATGATTTATTACTGACTAACTTTGATGAAATAGTATGACTGTGCCATCAGAAGAACAGGAAGGATGATGATAAGACAATCACCACAAATCGCATTAGGCTATTCGTCATTCAACATTAATAGAATTTTCTAATTATATATATATATACATATATATGCATGTATAGAAAAAAAATTTTATATATGATTGTATATAGTTAATAATGACGTAAAAAGAATCAATAGGAAATTACATAAATAATTCATATATCATACATTTATTTTGAAAAAATATGTTTTATTTATACAATATAAAACTTATTATTTAAAATTACTATATACATTTTGTGAAGATAAATTAATTAATAAACCAGATAAATTAAGATAAAACAATTCCGAATAGTATTATTAAACATAATATTATACAATATTCACAAACTATATTTATACAGATACATTAATAATATTTAAATCAACATCATATATGTATATATATGTATATGTATGTATGTATACATATGTATATATACTGTTTTTGTATATATGAATATAAACTACATTTTTCACTATACTGAAAAAAATAAATAGGTTATATAATATTATTATTCATCATTTACTTGATTCACAGTTTAAAAATATGTTAACTTTTGAGAAAAATTATATTTGTTGAATAGGCACGTTAACCTGACGAAAGTATTTGATCTTTGAATCTTCATGAAATGATTCCTTTCTGTCTGAAGTAAATTTCCTGTTCCTTTGCCGATCGTTCGTAGAACTTGTTTCTTGGATCTACTGCAGGCAATACTGGACACTGCAAATCACATTAAATTAAAAAATTTTTATGTGTACTAGATTAATAAAATGTAATATGATTTGTAACAGATAGTTTATAAAGTGCAATAATGATAGCATTAATATGCATATAAGTTAAATAACATACTCCTGAATCCTTTCGTAATTCTATTGCTTGCGTCATTTCTTCATTCAAATTCTTCTCTCTGTCTCCATGACTAGGATGTGATGATATCCATGGTAATTCTGGAGGCAACAGATGCATTTCCGTAAGCGTCCTCATTGTAGCCCAAAAAACAACTGCTTCACGAATATCAATACAAGCCTGTAAAGAATAGATGTGCCTATTAGTCATGAATAATAATTAATTTTTAATAATATTAAATAAGCAATAATATAAGATGTAAAATATAATATTAAGCTATTATACTATTAATGTAACATTATACCTTTGCAGCCAATCTAAGTCCTACTTCATCAGCTTCATTCTCCAAGACTCTGCTATATGGGAGTTTGTACATGATATTCACAATTCGTTCTCCTATCATGTGAATTATAGCAGCTGCTATATCAGGTAATAATGCCCAAACTAATAATATAGGTATTGCTATTAAAAAGTCCCATAATAACTGATCAGACAATGCTTCAAGCTGTTCAGAAATCAACAATTGTAATTTTATTACATGAAGAATATAATTAATATTGAAAATTTTATAATATTACTTACCGAATGTGAGAGTAACGAGTGAGCCATTTCATGAGCCAAAACAATACCTAATTGATCATCATTTTCGATCATTTTTAAGATATCTAGGGATACAAAGATATTTCCACCCTATATATAAGAAAACACAGAAGGGATAAAAGTAGTATCTGGAAATCCTATCAAATATATATTGCTGTATAATATTTATATATTTACTGGCAAGATATATGAGTTTGATAGTGGTGTATTAATAACAGTTAAAGTCCATTGTGTATCTCTTATGGACTTTAAGTCTTTATTAGCTGCCAAAATTTTTTCAATCACCCTTAGAAGTGTCTTGTAAGCTGGATGAGTCTTAGGTACCAAATTTTTTTCATGAGCTTCTAAATGCTGAAATAAGATTACATAATATAATATAAACTTGAGAAATATTTTCATAAATAATATCCCCTCTCTAATATACTTTTTAAAAAGTGTATTGTTTATACTTACAACTTCAAGAACCATCTTCCCTAATTGTTTCTCCTGTTCCTTGTTAAAGATTATAAATCTCGAACGTTTTGTCAATGGATCAGTTTCAAGATGTGTTATATAGTAAATAAATAATATAAGACCATATAATCCAAAGCAACCTTGTGAACAATTTCAAATAATGAATATATAATAATACAAAGTTATTATAATAAAATTATTTATCATTAGTATGTAAACTCACCTAAAATTATATTGCTCCTATTCTTGACCCATTGTTTGTATTCCTCCTTTTCTTTTTCGGACTTGCGTGCCCACCATTTTTTTATTGTGCGCCCCATCAGGAATGCGCCAATGCGTAAAGCAGGACGTAAAAACATTGCCACGAACGGTGGAATATGCAAGCTTTGTGTAGTGCGAAAGTAACATTTTTGCAGTGTTACACATTGTAGTTTTCTGCGGTCAATTGTATTTTGATTAAGAAGTTTTTTACGTTGCCAGGAACAGCAGTGAGTTTTTATGGGACGAATAACGAAATGGTTTGTTGCACTTCGCTGAATGTTTCTCTGGCATAAACTTCTTGATATGAACAACATAATCTATAAAGGATATCGAAATAGTAGTTTGAACCTAACTTGTTCGTTAATTGACCATGATTGACCATTGATTTTTATTATTTATAAAGCATTTCATACATATAATAATATGTAATACTTATATGTAATATTTATTTTATATATAAAATGTAATAACATGTAAATATTTACATAATCACATTGAACATGAACACAATGCATACTAGAAGAAGCACTTCCATATAATTATTTATTTCTCATATAGCCACAGAGGAAGTAATTTGAAAGATATGTCTGTAAATACTATACGCTCTTCGCGTATAGTAACTTTTGATTAACCAATCAGATTAATCAAAGCAGCAGAGTATTTCTTTGTCCTGATTGGTCAATCAAACGCTAATCTACCTGGTGAATATCTTCGAATGAATAAAGATTTTCGAATGCAATCTAATCTATTCGATGTTCGCTGTTTGTGGCTGTTTGATGTTTAGACTCTAGAGAAGCGCGAGTATTTAATTATATTTTTGTAAACGACTGAATTAGTGCAACCAATAGCGCGTGAAATTATAACAAGTATTACTTTGCTACAAATGGAAAAGTAACGAGTTGATATGTCTCCTTTGTTGCAAGAAAACAAATTTGACTGCCGGTTAATCTAATAAAATAACGAGCAGTGCTGAAGATTAAAGAAAAAGCCTACCTGTAGGCTTTTTTCGTATATAATGGAAAAAAACGTCGTACGAAAAACGGTGGCGTGACGATTCTCAGTCCTCTCTGCTTCTAGCGATTACATCTGTATATATTGGTTTGTACCTGCACAATGCTATATCTACATACTGTACAAGAGATAGTGTAATTATCTCTTTCTGTCAAGCGATTAGTATAATACTATGGAAATTTTTCAATGATCTGTATTTAGTTAATTGCCCTTTATTACAGATCTAATGACATATCATTTTCGTATTTTGCGTCAGAAAAATTAGGTTTTCTCTGTTATTTTTTTGAAACTTTTTCGATATATTTTTTACAAAGGAGTGTGGTACAAAACTGGATTTTGTAATTTGACTCTTGAATATTTATAATAAATAAAATACAGATTTTTTAGCAAAGTGCATTTTAATATGCGGCCAGCTACAAATTATTTATCAAGTGACAAATTATTTTGGCCTCTTTTTAAAAAATTCTATGCATATTGCACACCAAGCTGATTACACAAATATCACAATTATAATATAATTCTCTCTTATTGTTAGTGGTAAAATCAAAATAATAAGTTTATTTATAGTTTACAGCTATTGTATAATCTCAGACTTTCAGTCTTCATAGCTGAGCCTTAAAAGCATGTAGCAAAGCCGCATTGTCAAAGATAATATGAATGACCACTACAAATCTATAAATATTTCGACTACTCCTAATTTAATGAAAAATTCAAGGCACATGAATATTTATTTCATACAAATGAATTGATGTTATTTTATTTTAATTGTCTCACTATATAAAACGAAAGAGTATTCTCCTAATTTTTTGGCATGGTGTAATCTAATCTCACTGATATTGTCAAAAGTTAAACAATTGCAAATATAAAGCTATATGCGGTCTATTTAATAAAATTTTCAATCATTCTAATTTTAGTCTCAAATTTTTTTTTTTTTTTTTTTTTCCAATCAGAATCTAGATTTGACAATAGTGCAATGATCTAATAATTTATCCATTTTTTGAAGAAATGTTTTTCAATCACAATATTGTAGCATTACAATATGTGTTCGCATTTTGTTGTGTCATTATGGTTTACAGTGCATACATTGATAGAAAAATCACAGATTAAAACCATTATCTTTGAAATCTATTTCAAAGACATGAAAAATGTTGAATACTCCAGTTCAAATTGTATGGATATTGTACACTAATTTGTTGGTAACAAATCGAAGTCGTCTGAAACATGTACCATTGGAACATGAACATCTTCTATCTGAGGAGTCATTTTGGATTCACAGAGCCCAACTTCTTTCAATTTCCATTCCCAATGCATTTGTTGAACAGCGTGCAATGACTCTGCTTCATTATGATGCCTCAGCAGCATGCCTTCCTGAAATTAACACACACAAACAGAAATAAGAATAAAAATAAAGTATATACACTAGAGTTTATTTGGTTTCCGTTTTGGGACAGCGGAAGATAGAAGAGAGGGAAAAGTTTTACCTTTTGGAATGTTACAAGACTTGGAAATAAAGAAGGGAATCCAGCATAGTTACTGGCAAAGCAGATAAGATGGCTCTGAAAGGGCTGATGAAGGCCAGACTACCCGAATCATCTAAGAGAGGTGGAGAAGGAGGAGGAATAGAACTAAGAGAGATGCATGTAGAGGGAGAAGTAGGACTCGGGGTAGGCTTTCGATGGCCGTGCTATGACCAGGTTATGTGAAACGATGAGAGAAAGAGGAATGAAGGAAGGGTTAGTAATACATCAATTGAGATTTCAGTATATGATTAAGTACTATTTCAGTATATGATTTCATTATAATTTCCATAAAATATTTCTATCAGGATATTCAATTCTTTACCTTAATTTTTTCCCATTTGTCATCCACATCTTGAAGCCAACTTAAGAATAATCTACCATTGTATCTACTTCTTGCATTTCTATCTTTTTCTTCTTGTTCGGGAGTAATGACGTTATAAACCTCTTCGTCTTTAAGAATCGTACAAACAGAAAAGGGAAGAGACTGATTAGCGAGCGCTCTAGCCGCTCTACCGTGAACTCTAAGGATTTCCTGCTCCACTGATAAAACTAATTTCTCTTTTTCAACCACATGTTGCATTCTTAGACGATATCGCTCCTTTTCTTGTTCAACATACAAATCTTTCATAGCTCCATTCAAACCAGCTGGTGGGTTAACATTTGGCTCTTTTGCATTACTAGCTAATACATATGTACAGCGATTCATCAAATAATCCTTAAAACCTTGAGGAGGTTTTGGTTGAACAGGAAATAAGCTTTTTCGTCTTCTTTCAATCTGTAAAACATACAAAAAATTTGTGTACTAAACTTTATATTTTTTATATATTAGGATTGAGCAGTTTCTTTATTTTTTCTTTCTTTCGCTATTCATATTCTAATAGTGATATATATATATATATATAAAATGAAAATGTACATGCCACCAAAAAAAAAAAATGAGTGAAAGATAAATTATGATATTATGCACATGATTTCATTCTATGTATGCATAGTCAAGTGGTAAATGTGTAGAAATGGAAGAGTAATAAAAAGAAAAAAATTTAATTTACGGAACTTTAGCTAGTCAAGAATAAGAAATAGAAATATATGTATAAAGAATAGAGAAGTTTGACTGTCTTTTCTGAAGCCAATTTAAATAATTACAGATAACTCTAAGAAAAACATAAAAAGGCATAGAATATTGAATTAGTTCGATAAAAGTTTGCATTAAAAATTTAAATGATTTTTTACCTGCTTTCTAATATTAAGAAATAATTGATAACAATTAGTGATTGGTTGATCGTGCGGATGAATTTCTGGTCCCGTATTAATTGCTTCAGCTGCTTCGCTGGCAGCAGCTGTAGCTGCTTGTTGTGCTTCTTTGTTAGGTTTCATTTTTCTCTTCCTAGGATGAAGTTCTACAGGTGGTGCTGGTGTACTGGCATTAGACATCGTAGAGGAAGTAGTCACCGAAATGTTCTCCAAATTTTCTGTACCATTATCCTTTTGATTTTTCCCGGGACCATCCATATTTTTATCCGACTTTTCCACGGTTGTATTAGACTTCGAGACGGTCCCTGTATTTGTCGATTCCGACGAAGTAGCCTTATTAACATCGGATCCGATCATTTCAGGCGTTGGCGAGTGATGTCTTTGTTGCGGTGAAGAGTTATTCGAACGATCTATGGAAGTATTAATTGGTAATGGCGACGAGTTGGAATAATTTCCATTACCTGACGAAGGAGTGGTTTCTTTCGATGCTGTGGAACCATTACTACCATTTCCCGTTCTGTAATAATATGATTGTGAAAATTGTAACCATCTATAAGTAAATAACCATTTACAACTATAATTTGCTATGTTATTATGTATTGATTACATATACATCTGTTCTATTCCAGTGAATATAATCTAGTATATGATATTTCTAACATTAAAATTGTATAAATAAAAAAGTATATCACTTTATATTCAGAAAAATACATGCAAATTTTACAGTACAAATTTATAAGTAATTTTATAAACAAATTAAATATATTTATAAATTATAATATTTGAAAATTGCAATAAAGTATTTTACTTTTTACAATTTAAAAAAATAGTATATTGCAATGATATGTATACAAGGTGATAATTTCAAAAGCCCCTTTCTCTATATTTGAGGAATTAGGGTAGCAATATAGCTTTTTTTTTACCTGTGTGAACTTCTCAATACTCTTTGATGATGTGTTGATCTTTCTTCTCCGTGTAAAGTTGCAGCAAAGTCCTTCTTATCTTCCCCTTTTGTATTAGTACTTTCTGTAGGACTAGTTGTACCGCTAGCCGACTGATTTTGATCTTTCTCAGTTGAATCGTTGCTGTTCGAACTAGCAACTACATAGGGTAATTGATGACTTCTATTTGCAATGTTTTTACCGTTTCTATTGCCTTGCTCCTGTTCCGAAGCCGTACTTTGTGGGATAACTATCTTTAGAGGCGGTACTTTAGGAGCAATATTAGAATCGGAGCACTTTGATCGATCCTCTTCGCCATCGGATTCAAGCGCTGGAATACCAGTTTTTATATTTGTCGAACTAGAAGTATTCGAAGGTTTTGGACTACTGGCCATTGAGGAACTATTAGGACTCTTTCTGTCTGCATTGATGGAACTGGTATTTTGACTTCCTTTACCGGACGTCACTCCAGATCCTGGTTTACCTGATTTAACACACTGCAAGCAATTATATATATTGTTATTATATAATTATTATAAGATATATGTATATCGCCATAGAAAGAGAATATGCTACCAAATAATATCAATTCTTACTTTTTCTCCACCACCAACAGCGTTCCTATTGATATTTTGTCTTCCCAATGTGTTATTCTTTGCAGTCTCTTTCGCGTTTTCGGAATCTTTTCGTTTCTTCCGACGATTTTCCTCATCCTGCTCCTCCGCGTTATCGCCCTCGAAG